CAAAACTGTTCCTGTCCTGGGAGGCTGCTGAGGTGGGGCAGGACACGGACAGGAAACGCGTGGGCCTGAGGTCTCAGTTTCTGTGGGAGGTGTAGCTGCTGCTGCCCTGCGTTCAGGGCTGGTTGGGCGCTGAGCAGCTCTGCTCAGGGGAGCAGAGTCACTGACACTGCCCGGGCAGCTGCTGCTTGGTTTCTCTGCACCCCTGAGCTGCTTTGTCTGAGTCGCTGACTCCTGCCATCACACCACAACCAGAACACAGTTTGTGTTGCTGCTGCTCCTCGCTGACCTGTCGGGAATTGCTTTTCCAGCCCCTTCCAGGTGAGCCTGCAGCTGCCTTTGAGGTTTGCTGAGGCCCACTGGGCTGGAAGGAGCCCTGCCATGCCCGGGGCCAGGGTGGAGTGGGAAGGGGAGGGTGGTGGATGCTGGTGGGTGTTCCAGTTAAAGCACTCATGGACAAACTGGGCTTTCTTGGTGTGAAAGTTCCTATGATTGGTTGGTGTCTTCATGATTTGCAGAGTGTTTTTATTGCTTGTTATTTCACAGTTGTTGTTTGTAGTGTTTCTTAATTAGAATAATTGAGTTTGGAATCACAGAGCAATGCTGTGCTAAGTTCAGGAGTTGCTCAGGTCTCTGGCAGTTTCACAGTGCCATCTGTAGCTGCCAGGTAGTTTGCTGTGCTGATGGGTGGTTGTGGGTTTTTTCTTATCTTGAAAGCTTAGGTGGGGTGAGAAGGACAAGGCATGTAGGAAGGGTAGCAATATAATTAGCAGGTTATTATATTTATTTATAAACAGTTACTCATGTGCCATAGGCAGAGAAGAGAGGAGATACTTGTATCCTGAAAGAGTTTTTAAAAAAACAGCAGTGTTTTTGAGAACAATCATTATTAGAAAAAGGATCGGTAAGAAACCTCTATTTGTACTTTTCTGGGTAAAAACCCTAAAGTCTGGCTCATCAGTCTCCTTCTTTTGTTTGTTTCCATTTTGAGCTTATTGTCAGTGAAGGACAAGCAGGGTGGGAGCCTGGAAAGGAAGGAGCAGTGACTGGCTGGGCTGGCTCTTTACTTGAGACAGAAATTCCAGAGACTGGACAGGCTTGGTGGGATGTGGTGTTTAATTTTTTATTTTTTTTTAATTAAAACTTCATTGACTGCTTGGCATTCCAGGGTGGAGGAAGAAGAGCTCTGCATGAACAGAGTTGCCAGGAAATAGAATGTTATGGTCCAGCTTCTCAGTGTTGAAACATTTGAAGAGACATTTGTCAAGGTCTCCAGTTAAGAACAAACTAACAGCAACCCCCCTGGACAGGCCCCCAGCAGAGGGAAGGGCAGAGAGCTCTGCAGAGAGCTCAGCAGGTCTCAGCTCTGCACAGAAAAAGGCAGTGGCATTCCCCTGGCACGTGGAGAGGGAGTGCAGTGCTGTGAGGCTGGCAGGAGGCAGGGCAGTGGGGCTGGCAGGAGGCAGGGCAGGGCAGTGCTGTGGGGCTGGCAGGAGGCAGG